TTTTAATAGTGTCTTGTCACTTTACATAAAGTAATTTACAGTACATAATTTTGGGCAATACTGAGAAAAATGTAACTTACAAAAAGTTGTCTACACATTCTCTAGTCAATAAGTCATTATCAAAGTTTGTATATTGCATGCAATGGTTTTAAGCAGTAGAGCTCACTAACTGGACACTGAGAATATAGTGTGTACAGTACAGACTGTCTTCACCTCAAGGGACACATGATGCCTTCTCTTACATTCTATAAGTATATATTACAAGACGTGGATGAATACAGGGCCAACTACTATTTTAATGAGAACAATCATTAATGTTTATTTTTTCATCAGTAAAAAGTATTTTATAAAAGTGGAAATACCATATAATGCTAATTTAACTTGTACATTCACAACAACAATGAATATTATATTTCATTTTAGTGGGTTTTGTTAAAAGTTTTGTCCTTTTCCACAATTCCCTTCAGAAAACAGTACAAAAGACAGTTTTAGGCCTCAACACAACAGTAAGTTATAACTAATCCATTATAATTCATTAAAATGAGTAATTAAAACATCTTTGTGCTTCTGCAGTGCCTTCGAGTTTATTTTATAACACGGGGAACAGGCCACTGTGAAGGGGTGAGGACAGCTGTCTGCCCGTCTCGGGTGTTGCGCAGCTTCTTTCCTTTTAGAACCTGAAACCCCTATCAAGGAGTGCAGCTGTCCAATCAGGTTAAAGCCTGCATGAGCCGAGCAGCCAATGGCAACAAACATCGAAGTATATAAACCAAGGTCTGACATCTTGCAAAGTTGGGCAACCCCTACATTGGCTTGGTGAACAGGATCTGATCCCAAGGACTGTTACCTTTTCTCCCATACAGGTAAACTAAGTTACGGTTCAGAGATTTTACAAGGGTGGGAATAAGGGATACTTGATTAAAAATGAAAAACTTCAGAAAAAAAAGGACACGATAAATTGGGGCTTTCAGTTTGGTTGATCCAAATTTTTCCCCGTTCAAATTAATCAAATCACATTGGTGTTCCTCATGCACTGGATTCTGGATTCTTGTGGAAATTCTAGTCTTGATTGTTGGAATGTTAGAAATGTTCATATTTTTGAAGCTGCTTTGCTTTTTGAAGCATAACTAGGTCTGGAACTAAGCTTGTCCTTGCTTGATAAGCTTCAGAGTCATAATGAGAGAGTAGTCTGGAGTAGATATGCTGCTGTCTATGGCAGGAATGATCTGTGTGCTTGACACCTGTTGTACTTCAGTACAAGGTCATGCCATCTGGGTTCATAGTTGATGCATTTTACTCAAGTCTATTTATAATGCCTCAGACATTGCATTATTTTTGTACGCAACTATATCCAAAACCTGTGAATATGGACAAATGGAACAGGGTGATTTATTACTCCTAAACTGTAAGTGTTTTTGATATTGCGAATTATATTTTTAAATAGCATTTCACAAAAGCTAAATTGATGTGGACGTAATACCATATGGGGCCAGTGTAAATGCTCCACCCCCATCAGAAACTAGAGAGTTTGCCAGCCATGCTAAAAATATTCCCTGCTGTCTAATGCATATAACCATGCAACTATGTATGCAACTGCTGGCATTTTATTCTGGAAACAAGTGTCACCTAAGCTTAACTAAATGAAAATTGGTAGCTGTTTTCGCAATATAATTATTATGATATTGCGTAATTCGCAATATCAATGTTAGCGAGCAGGTTCCCCTTCAAATCCTGGGCCCAAAGAGTAAGCTACACCATAAAAGACCTCAGTAAGCCTGGGACAATGTTTCTAGTTGTCCACCCTGACAAGTGTTGCAAATTCCTTCTAGCATCAAAAGTAAATTGTAGGTGCCAACTTGCCTTACTCTTTTCTTGTGGCAGATCATCACAAAAGTGCAATCATGGCTAAGAACTGCCACAACGATTACAAGATAAAGTTCCCTCTGGAGGAGGAGTACCCTGACCTTTCCTTGCACAACAACCACATGGCCAAGGTCCTGACTAAGGACATCTACACCAAACTCAGGGGCAAGTCAACTCCCAGTGGATTCACCCTGGATGACTGCATCCAGACCGGTGTGGACAACCCTGGTAAGCAGCAGAACATGTTTCAATACATTCCCCCATAGGAGCGTATCTCTTGAAGATAACCACAAGCGGTGTTTTATTTGTTCTTGAACATGTATAAATCACTTCCTTTTATTCCCAACTCAAGGCCACCCCTTCATCATGACTGTCGGCTGTGTGGCTGGTGACGAGGAGTCCTACGAAGTCTTCAAGGAGCTGTTCGACCCCATCATTTCTGACCGTCATGGTGGTTACAAGCCCACCGACAAGCACAAGACTGATCTGAACTTTGAGAACCTGAAGGTACTCAAGTTCTTTACATGATCATGGCTGTTTTGCTCTTATCATGGCTAATGTTTACCTGTGCACAGGGTGGTGATGACCTTGACCCTAACTACGTGCTGAGCAGCCGTGTGCGTACCGGCCGCAGCATCAAGGGGTTCACCCTGCCTCCCCACAACAGCCGTGGTGAGCGTAGAGCTGTGGAAAAGCTGTCCATTGAGGGTGAGTCTCAGTCACGTCGTGTACTGACATTTAGCAAGAAACATGCATGCTTTTACTGACGTTCACATCGTTCCGCTCACAGCTCTGAAAAGCCTGGAAGGGGAGTTCAAGGGCAAGTACTACCCTCTGAAGGACATGAGTGACAAGGAGCAAGAGCAGCTCATTGCTGACCACTTCCTGTTTGACAAGCCTGTGTCCCCACTGCTGTTGGCTGCCGGCATGGCCCGCGACTGGCCTGATGGAAGAGGCATCTTTCACAATGACAACAAGACCTTCCTTGTGTGGGTGAACGAGGAGGATCACCTGCGTGTCATTTCCATGCAGAAGGGCGGCAACATGAAGGAGGTCTTCAAGAGGTTCTGCGTTGGCCTGCAGACGGTAAATCCCATTATTTACTATTTAATTTTTGGCCATATATTGCAAAGATAAACAACCGAAGGCCTGACCCCTTGTTGTATATTGCAGATTGAGGAAGTCTTCAAAAAGCACAACCACGGTTTCATGTGGAACGAGCATCTTGGTTACGTCCTGACCTGCCCCTCTAACTTGGGCACCGGTCTTCGTGGTGGTGTGCACGTCAAGCTGCCTAAACTCAGCACACATGCCAAATTCGAGGAGATCCTGACCAGACTGCGTCTTCAGAAGCGTGGCACAGGTGGGCTTCAAATCATTGAACACATAAAATGGCAGTGTTGCACTGAGATCATCCATTTGAGCGACTCTTTGTACTTCTATTTATCCAGGTGGTGTGGACACTGCCTCTGTCGGTGGTGTGTTTGACATCTCCAACGCTGACCGTCTGGGCTCCTCCGAGGTGCAGCAGGTGCAGTTGGTAGTCGATGGTGTGAAGCTCATGGTTGAAATGGAAAAGAAACTGGAGAAGGGCGAGTCCATCGATGGCATGATCCCTGCCCAGAAGTAAAGTGTAAAGTGCTTTTCTTTTTTATTTGTTCTTTCATGCGGTCATGCCACCTTGACCAAGAGACACTCCATCCCGGCTCCCTTTTTCCTAATTTTTTTCCTCCCTTTCTTATCTATCATCTTCTTTTTCATGCACTTTTCCTTATCTTCATGTTCCTTCTGTAACATCCTGGGATCAAACCTCCACATAGCTAGAGAGCCCTAGCTATGTTGTATTCACCCAAACTTTTTTTTGGTTGTACAAAGTTAATAAACGGCCCCATGTAACAATCAACCTGTTTTAAGTCTCTACAATCTTTGCATTCTTGGACACATACCTCCAGACACAGCTTGCATAATGTATGTAATGTATAACACTATTGTGGGAATTCATTCAGAATTCTATCAATATATAATTGCTAAGCTGACCCAACCAAGGGGGTAATCCATCAGCAGGAAGTTGAAGCCTCGCGGGAGCCGCCATTGTAGCAGATCTTCACCCGCTGTTAGCATCCCATTGACTCCCATTCATTTTGGCATCACTTTGAAAGCGAATAACTTTACATTTGAGGCGTCCATAGACTTAATTTGTCCATTATTTATTTCTAAAGAAACACGACAATGTATAAAATGCTCCATTACTTTGTATCTTACGTTACGGCCTGTCGCAGTGCACAACAGAGACATTACTGTGTAGACAGGAGAAACTCGCAAGCAATCTTTTACTGTCTATGAGGCAATCGGGGGGACATGGAGGCACAAAGTCAAGGTAGAAGCCCATAAATAGAGAGTCCTTAAAAGCAATGGGACAAAATATTTCAACAATGTGTTTGAGGAATTAGGTGATTCAGATTTGTCTTGGCACAGCTACTAGAAGATTTTCAACAGTCAGACTGTCGTCACGCTCAGTTTGAGCCTGCGCAGTCGCTCAGACATCAGGCAGGAAGTGCAATAATCGGGCTTCAGTCTCCGTTGAAATCAATGGGTTCGCTGTGTCCATTTCTTTTACTGTCTATGGACCCAACAGACATTAAAGGCACTAAAAGACGAGTAATTTGTGCAGAATAGCACAATAACAATCAACAATAATTCAAGCAAGCATGATTTGTAATTTCTTTTTGTTGTTATTAAGTCAGATCAATGCTTGCTTGAATTATAGCATGTCAGTATATTTGAAAATCATACACAACATATTTCAACCTGAAATTTAAGAAATTAATAGAAATTGCTGGTACAATGGTAACTGTCTTTCAAAGAATTAAAATATTAATTACTATTAATAAATCATTTTTTCTAGATAATACCTTTAATTGTTATATATTCTAAAATTTAATTCATGCAATCCACAGAGTGCATTTGCCACAAAAATCAAACTGTGAAACCATCAATAAATATTTGGAATACAACAATATTAGGCCTTCTTTAAAAAGATAATTTAGAAAGTTTAAACCTTTTTTTGCTATTTTTACAATATTTGCCACGCAAACAAACTGATAGAAAGCTACTAAATAAACAGACATACAAATCACTGAATTTCAGACAAATGTTGTATTAATCATTCTTGCATTTCCTCACATTGCACAGCTCTGACATATTCCAATCTTGACGATGAGGACTTACTAAATCAAATCAGAGATAAACAAAATCAACAGTCTGTTTGTAGCCATTCAGCACTTCTGGCAAGATAACAGAGGTTTCTCATCAGCGTAATACACATACAAGAGCAACACAAAGAGCACTGTATCTCTACTTGGCTCAGTGGGGTAAATTGCACCATTTGAAGGGGGAACTGCTTTAAAACAGATGATGTTGCTCACTCAGCCCTAAAGTGCTACGGTGTGACCATGTAATATGACGAATCTAATAACAAGGAGGCTCAGGAAAGCAGACATCACCTACTCAACCTGCATCACTGGCAAGTTCGATGGCTAAAACAACCAACAAGGAAAGATCATTTAAAAATCAGGAGAAATTGCTATCACTTGCATGTCTCCGCATGTTGTCTACGGTTAGAAATGGTGTGGCATTCACATGTGTTTTCTGTGAATATGGTTATTGAAACGAGGATAAAACAAAACATACTCTTCTCACTGGCGCAGCAGAAGAAAATATATAAAAAAAAAAGAGTTAAATAGCAGCAGTTAAAAAGGAATGACAATGTAGAGAGTGAATATGCAGCAAACAATCCGTGTTAAAAAAATAACATGGCTAAGATACCAGGTAAAATCAGCGGTAAAACAGACCCGGTAAAAGGGAGTTCCTTCAGCAGGGCTTTTGTGTAAGCAGGTGCCCATTTCTCAATGTGTGTGTGCCAGTCTTTGTAGGCTTAGAGGGGGCGGGGGTGTGGGCAGGGCTACTTCCACTCTTCCCATCTTTCTGTCCCATGCTTTTGTCCCTGCCCTCCACCCCCTGTTGCCCTCAGAGTTCGAGTTCTTTGGACACTTTGGTGGCAATGTCCCGAAAGGCAAGTGGTGCCCCCCACAGGCGCTTAAATCGAACACCGCTGGTCTCGGCGGGGCCGTTGGGCAGCTGGCAAACCTCGGCTTCGAAGGCAACGCGGGAGCCGGCGGCTCCATGGGTGCAGGAGAGGAGGAAGGGCCCGGCCTGGTGGACCTGGCAACCGCAGCCCTGCGCCGCCTCCCGCAGAGCCAGAACCACCTCGGCCGGGTCCCGCGGGCTCCGAACCCTCACATCCCAGCCGCATCGGGGGGTCCGGGGCTCTGCCGCTTTTTGATACCCAGATAGATAGCGACTGTGGAAGGAGGAGGAGGTGAAATGGGAGAGAAATGGGAGGTGGGTGGTGATGTGTGTGGGCGGATGGGGAGTGGAGGGGGAACAAGAGAGAAATATATTAGAAATCTGTGAGCAAAAGTCCTTAAAAAAGTTCTTAAAGACTGATTAACCTGTGTTGACTGCTAGTTTGTGATATTATTTAACTAAGCCAATTAATTTCAGGGACCAGTAAATAGAAATAGAACACTTTACAGTAAGGTTCAATTTGTTAACATTAGGTAGAGCATAACATGAGCTTTTTTTCTTAATAATCTAGATTATTGTTCATTCGTAATGTACACTATTGTTCTTTGTTAATTCAAGTTAGTTCATATTACATTAATTAAAAGTAACTAAACTTTGACTGAAATGATACATCTTGAAATGTTAAAATTTTATTATTATACATTAACCTAGATTAATAAATGCTTTAAATGTAATGTAAACGTAATGCGTTAACTAATGTCAAATGAACCTTGAGGTAAAGTGTGTTACCAATAAAATAATGCTAAATGGTTTGAAAGAAACATCTTAATAAAATGTTTGAAATCCTTCTACAATCAAAAAGGGAGGAAATGTTTAGAACCAGTTACCTTGCAGGAGACACTGGACTTCTTCAGGATAGTAATACCATTTTCAAAACCAGTTCAAATCTAAGTATTATTTCAATTTAGTGTGACTATCGGCAAAAAGTTGTAGAACATTTTGCAAGGCCTGAAAAAAAATGTGAGTGCCATTCATTTTTAAAGGTGACTAGAAGTAAACTACCATTCAAATGTTTGGTGTCTGAGATTTTTTATGTTTTTGAAATAAGTCTTATTTGTTCACAAGGGTGCATTTAATTGAATCGAAAATACAGTTAAAACAACAATATTGTGAAATATTTCAATGTGAAAGAATTGTTTTCTATTTGAATATATATTTGAAATATAATTTATTTTTCTTGAGATGACAAAGCTGAATTTTCAGCATCCATCTCCAGTCTCAAGTGTCGCATGATCCTTCAAAACAGCATATTATATTCATTTCTGGTGCATTTTAAAAGTTGTGCTTTTTAATGTTTTTTGTAGAAACCATGATATATTTTTTCAAGATTAATGGAAGAATAGAAGAACGCACAACATTTTCAATTTAGTGGGTTAGTTCACCCAAAAATGACATTTCTGTCATTAATGACTGTAAACCCGTAAGATCTTTGTTCATCTTCGAAACACGTCAGAACGCCGGCTCATTATTGTCCGACGCTGTGAGCACCAGGTCAACGGCTCTGCACCAGGTGAGTACCACAACGCATGCTGATGCAGGAGTTGACCAATAATCATAGACATAAACACTAGACGTCACCTTGACCGCCGCCATCTTGGAACAGGGGTCTTTCATAAGAAGTAGCTAGGTAACGCTGCTATTATAAATGAAATGAAAATAAAAATGGAAATAAAATGTCCGGGATTGGGCTTTTGCGTTCTACAGTCGCCATTCACCATGTTTACTGTGGCGAGCGGGACGAGTGAGGGCCGTGTGGACTGGAGAACGGCGCGAGTCATGTTAACTGTGGCGAGCGGGACGAGTGAGGGCTGTGTGAAGAACGACGCGAGTCATGTTAACTGTGGCGAGCGGGACGAGTGAGGGCTGTGTGAAGAACGACGCGAGTCATGTTAACTGTGGCGAGCGGGACGAGTGAGGGCTGTGTGAAGAACGACGCGAGTCATGTTAACTGTGGCGAGCGGGACGAGTGAGGGCTGTGTGAAGAACGACGCGAGTCATGTTTACTGTGGCGAGCTGGAGAGCCGTGTGGACAACGACGCGAGTCATGTTTACTGTGGCCAGCCGGACTAGTGAGAGCTGTGTGGGGAACGACGCGAGTCATGTTTACTGTGGCGAGCTGGAGAGCCGTGTGGACAACGACGCGAGTCATGTTTACTGTGGCCAGCCGGACTAGTGAGAGCTGTGTGGGGAACGACGCGAGGCCGGTGGCGTGATTACCGATGAGCGGCACCTAAGTCGCTAAGAGGTAAGTGACCGGTCTCGTATCGCTCACGGAGGAGCAGGATTTTTTTTTAGCAATGTTAAAACCCACATCAACCGATCACTTGTTTAGCATTCTGGTGGTGGCACTGGCAGACTTTTGTGCTGTGTATGATGTTCACACAAATGAAATCTGAACTAGGAAGAACTAGGATTTTTTTTAATTTTTACTGGAATCAATGATAAATACATGTCTGACCGTTGGAAGGAACCAAAAAAAAAAAAAAAACGAGAAAATCGCATTCATGATGGTTTATGGTGATTTTAAGTATAATTTTTTGTGACCATATCAAAGCTGGGTTCAAGCCCTTTCCCAAATGTTTTTATTTATTTTATCGGTTGTCCGTAACAAAAGTTCAAAAAAAAAAAAATCAATAAATAAAAACTTGCGTGCCGCTATAGTTCACACAGGACTGGACTTTATTCTGTTATGTGATTTATTTTGATAGGTTAACTGTCTTTGTAGTGTAGAAGGAGAGCTAAATGGGAGATTTGTGTTTCCCGCTCCGCCTGCGTGCATGTTCTTAAAGAGAAACGCAGTCTTTTCAACTGGTCATTATAAATCGCTATTTTTCTGCAGTAAACTAGTGAATTTTCCCAAGTTATATTCAGAGATGATAAACTAGAATTTATAGAATAATAATTTAATAAAAAACAAATTTTGACAAAAAACTGACATCTATTTTTAGACTTTACTGAAAACGTACCAGCCCAACATCCGACGGGTTTTCCCAGATCGCATCACATATATCTATGACCAATAATCACTGGCATTCTGACGTAGAACCCAGAGACGCAGCACTGTTTACTACGTAAATAGCGCAACAGATTGACATGGTGGAGAAGAGATTGTTGTTTTTTAGCGCACAAAAATTATACTCCTCGCTTCATAACAAGGTTGAACCATGTGACAAATGGTCACATGGGCTATTTTTTCGATGTCTTTACTACCTTTCTGAGTCTTAAAAGTTGCAATGACATTGCTGCCTATGGCTGGATCAGAAACCTCTTGGATTTCATCAAAAATATCTTCATTTGTGTTCTGAAGATGAGGGTAATTAATGACAAGATTGTCATTTTAGGGTGAACTAACCCTTTAATGCATCCTTGCGGAATAAAAGTCTTAATTTCTTTAAAAAAAATCCTACTAAACCCAAACCTTTGAACGGTAGAGTAAAAAAACATTCAGGCACATACAAATTTAGAAATAAAATATAATAACATACAAATCAGGCAAAGTATAGAAAAAAGTGTATAGGTAGAGCACTATGTGTATGATGAAATCAGTACAACCTGTGCAGCCAAACATCACCTGTGTCATGCACTTCATAAGTCTCATACACATTATCCCTCAATGTAAATCTGAACCGAATGTAAACTGCATTCCAAAATCATTCAACTTTTACCAGCAATATACATAAATTAGCTGGTCACTATTAGCACAGAACGTAAAAAATGTCATTCAAACATCCATGTTTAAAAAAAAAAACGTAAATGTGACTTTCGAAATGCAATGGCCAACCACTGTCAATATATTGTGATTGTGAATATGGAAAAGGTAAAGGGAAGGACAAGTACGTATCTAAGGAAACTACATATATCTAAGCTAGATTTGATGCACATAGTACAGTACACACAGTTCTATATAATTAACAAAAAGCAGTCACATTCTGATCAGTCTGATCTGACATGGCACGCAGCACATGCTAGAAATTACCTGTGTTTTTTAGCCTGACTTTTTGTAGCTGTATCTGTAGCTAAGGAGAAGTAACAGAGTTAAAATATAGTATGTGAGGACGTTTTAACAATTTTTCTTACCGAGCAAATAACATTTGTCCATTTATCTAGATATTCTTTGTGCTATTATTTTTCAATTTCCTCTACCTATTTTCTGTCTGTCTTCTGTTTGAGTTGCTTGCTTGTTTTCTGAAATGAAGACAATGGCCCAGCATTTGGAGATAGACAACTTTTATGCTACTTCCTCAGTCAAATATGTGTATGAAAAAGAATATGAAAACGCTCACCTTGTGACCGGAGATCTGCTGACTCTCTCAGGTTCGTCTGTGACCCTCAAGAAGAAGACAAAAATGGTTCATGTTAGGAATCAATTAGCCAATAGAGCGGCGATTATCACAGTTTATTCCGCCCTCCACAAACAACCAATCACAGACGTGCACCGTTACACTGACGTCACCTTCAATCAATCCACAAATATCACTACTGAGAACAAAAGAAACTGATGGCAGTGATGGATTTTATATGGCAGGATTATGTATTATCTCATAGAATATATTAATTATGCTTTTGAGACAGACATCATCACACGTTGCTTCATGTCAGTGTAACACAATTTAAAGAAACATTCACAATTGTATCCTTAATAACACCATCTAAAAGCAATTTCTTGTGTGTGGCTATTTGTCTTTGAGTTTATTAATCTAATATTCTACATGAGACATTAGTTATTATTAGCTCTAAACAAAGAAAGTGCTAGTTGGCTGATGTCCACACGAGGGCGCTACGGTTCAAGGCTGCTTTCATGGACACTTGTGAAACTTTCCATTCACATAATGTAGTAAATGAGGTGGCCAGTGTATTCCCTCTTAAAGGGACAGTACACAGCCACCTCAAACATTACAGTGAAAATGGAGGGCTCTCTGTTGGGTGTGAATAAACCATATCTGGACAGAAAAAAATATCATGTGATAGACAGGGGAGGCAAATGAGCTTGGCCAACTGTGATTGGGATTTGACATGAGAGGATAAAAATACAAGTTACATAACTAATCTGGGTCTAAAGTGGAGAGAGGAAGCCCTTGCTTGGCTCTAACTTTTCCAAAATTAGGCTTTTATGATAGAAGAGTCCAGATTAAAATTGTTTTACAATGCATTTTTAATTTCGTTAAGAATCATGGGAAATCTAATAAGGGCACAGTGTTCTTCAGGCCAAGCTAAATGCCATTCCTGTGAATAAGTAAAAGGTGAGAGAAATGCATGAATGAGTGCATGAAAAAAAGTGATACATGGATGGAGCTATGGTGTAAAAGACCTCTTGAGCATCAAACAAAGAAAGCACATTCTCAAATATTTAAACATATAAAAAATGCAGTTTCAAATGTATTGACAATAATAATCAAAATAGTGTTGGTTCACCCAAATCTGTCAACTTAAAACATTTGCTAACCCTAGTGCCATTCCAAACATGTATAATTCTGTTCTTCTCTTCAGAACCAAAATATTTGGTATAATACCAAAATTAGGGCTGTCATTTTGTGTAAATGACAAAGAAGCATGAATTTGGCCCCCACGATTTATGTGCAAGTCTTCCCCCTTTGATGTTGCTTTTGATTCATAGATGTTGTGCCATATCATGCCATATTTAAAATGAATGCGATTTAAGAGCCACAGCAGAAAGGAGGATTTTCAGTTAACTAAGTTATCATATGACTTCAGAAGACTTGCAATAGAGTATAACGGTTCTTTGTAAAAGTTCTTTGTTGAAGAGTTAGAAGCCATGAATTAAACCAACCAGCTACTAAAGTAAAATGAGGGAAAGAATTACAATCCCAGGAAGCATAGAGAATGACAATCAAATTAAAATGATGGATAAATATAAAACTATTGATTAGTATATAATTATCTTTGCAGAATCAATGGTACCAGGAATTCTGTTGTTAAACACAATTATTAAAAAAATATGTTGAATTAATGTGTATTAATGGATTCAACAAAACCATACACTATCGATCAACAACCCTGAAACTCACATTAGATCTGTCTTTAAAGGTTTATACACCCTCAGAAAAAAAGGTACAAAAGCTGTCACTGGCCCAGTACCCTTTCAAAAGGTACAAAGAGTGCATATTAGTACCTCAAAATGTACATATTAGAGCCAAAATTGTACATCTTAGAACCTAAATGGTGCATATTGGAACCTATTTAAAGGGTACCGTCCCAGTGATAGCTTTTGTTCCATTTTTCTGAGTGCAAGTTATCATTCAAAATCTATGGAAGCTTGTTTCCACCACTGAATAAAAAAAAAAAAAATTATTATTGCGACTTTTTATCTCACAATTGCGAGATATATTATAAAGTCAGAATTGCCTGATATAAAAAGTCGCAATTGTGTGTTATAAAGTCAGAATTGCGAGATATAAAGTCGCAATTGCGTGTTATAAAGTCAGAATTGCGACTTTTCATCTCACAATTCTGACTTTTTTTTTCTCACAATTGCGAGTTTACATCTCGCAATTCTGACTTTATAACACATAATTGGGAGTTTATATGTTGAAATTCTGACATCTTTTCTCAGAATTATGAGATATAAACTTGCAATTGTGAGTTATCAGGCCAATTATAAGGGGGGAAAAAAAGACTAACTTTTTTCCCCTCAGAATAGTTTATATCTCACAATTTTTACGACTTTTTACGCGAGTTTATATCTCACGACTTTATATCATGCATTTCTGACTTTTTAACACAATTGTGACTTTATATCTCGGAAGTCCTACTTTATATATCGCAATTCTGACTTTATTACACGCAACTGAGACTTTAGATCAAGCAATTCAGACTTAATATCTCGCAATTCTGACTTTATAACATGCAATTCTGGCTTAATATCTCGCAATTCTGACTTTATAACACGCAATTGCAACTTTATATCTCGCAATTCTGACTTCATATCTCGCAATTGTGAGAAATAAAGTCAGAATTGCGAGATGTAAACCTGCAATTGTAAGAAAAAAAGTCAGAATTGTGAGATAAAAAGTCGCAATAACCATTTTTATTTTTCATTCTGTGGTGGAAACAAGCTTCTTTAAAAATCAATTCAAATTGCCCTATGGTAAAAATAAATCCGATTTTTTACTTCCGGAACCAAACTGTGGCAAACAAGGAATATTCGACTTTCCTGCTGCTTTTAGTATTCTGACAGCTCTCAACATCCCACATCGCACAAAACCATACACGTTTGGACACAAGGGTGAGTCATTAATGACAGAATTAAAATTTTGAGTTATCTCTGAAAGCTCAAAGAGGTGCTCCGACACCCAGCGCTAACACGGGTGCCAAAGAGAGCGGTGAGACTGAGTATTTTGACATACTGAGAGATGGAACAAGGCCACAAACAGGAAGAAAACTTACTAACTGTTTTTGATCCCTGTGGCAGAGTGCAGCCCGAGACTGACTTGTTTGAGCTCTGGCGCTTAGAGGGGTCAAGATTGACCCTAAGAGTTGATGAGGGGAAGGAAAAAGAGAAAAGGACAGTGTGATAGACAGAAAGAAGGAGGGGAACAGGGAGATCGAGAGAGAAATAAGATTGTAGCAAGGGAAAAAAAGGCAAAGAAACAAATAAACAAAACAGAAACACTGAGCACCCAACAACAGCCGAGACCAAGAGATAGAGACACGAGGAGGAGCAGGCGCCTGAAACTGTCGGTTAATAACACAGGAGGCTTGAGGAAGAGCTAATGCAGAGAGTACATATGCAAACTTATGCGGAAAAGGGACTTTATCCATTGGATGTCATCCTAGATAGGTGCTTAATCTAATCTAAGAGATGGAAGTGTTGCTCTAATCTAATAAAGAGCTTCTAGTTGCGCATCTCTGCAAAAGTCGTTCTTTCTGGCTTTTGGCCCAGACAGGCACATAAACAATTCAACTGAGGAGGATGCTGAAGAGCAAAGCGCCCCATCAGCGTTCCTACTTTCTACTGAACATCTCAATCACATTACGGACTTCAAATGCTCCCATATCTAACAACATTACCTCCTCATATTCCACAGGAATATAGGCACCAAACCAAATGAAAGTTGACTTTGTAAACTAATTGGCTCTAGCGGTGGAGCCCATGTCATTTTGATCTTGTGCGGCTAAAGAGCAATTCACATCCAAGGACGATAACTAAAAGTTTTAAAAGTAGTTTTAAAATTTCCTTTGCATTTGGTAAGAATAGGTCCACACCACATTTACAATGATAACAACAAAGCCATTGTATTATAACAATATCGTTGTATTTGCTTTCAGAATAATTTTTTCAGCATAAATGCAGCACGCTTATGAACAGAACATTATGTGGATCCCAATAAACCGGTAGTTATCATTATAATGTAGTTGTTTTTAAAGCTATTTGTCTTTGGTGTGGATGCTAAAATAGTTATAATTATCATCTGTTGGTGTGGACCCTTAATTATCGTTCTTGGTGTGAAAACTAATATAGTTATCGCTGTAGTTATCTTTATTATTATCGTCCTCTGCCAAGGAGACTAATATAATTATCGTTATAATTATCTTTATAGTTATCGTCCGGTTGTGTGGATACTAATATATTTATCGTTATAGTTATGTAGATATGGGTGAACAATAATATTGTTTTTGTTATAGTTATCATTATCATTTTTGTTTCTTAGTGTCTACGCTGTTCTTAATATTACTGTTATGTTTATAGTTTGTCCGTTGGTGTGAATACTAATATAGTTATCATTTTAGTTGTTTATAGTTGTTGTTCTTGGTTTGAAAGGTAATTTAGTTATTGTTATACTGTAGTTTTTTTTTTATTTTATGTATACATATTCCTATAGTTCATGTTATAATTGTTACGTTCATAGCTGGTATATAGTTGGTCCGTAGGTGTGAATACTAATATAGTTATCATTTTAGAGTGGTTTGTAGTTATGTTTATATAGTTTTTGTTCTTGGCGTGAATGCTAATATAGCTATCTTTATAGTTATGTATAAAGTTTTTGTTCTTGGTGTGAATGCTAATATAGTTATCTTTATAGTTTATAGTTTTTGTTCTTGGTTTGAATGCTAATATAGTTATGTTTATAGTTTTTGTTCTTGCTGTGAATGCTAATATAGTTATGTTTATAGTTTTTGTTCTTGGTGTGAATGCTAATATAGTTATCATTTTAGAGTGGTTTGTAGTTATGTTTATATAGTTTTTGTTCTTGGCGTGAATGCTAATATAGTTATCTTTATAGTTTATAGTTTTTGTTCTTGGTTTGAATGCTAATATAGTTATGTTTATAGTTTTTGTTCTTGGTGTGAATGATAGTTATGTTTATAGTTTTTGTTCTTGGTGTGAATGCTAATATAGTTATCTTTATAGTTAATGTTCTTAGTGTGAAGGAGCCTTAAAAGTCTTCAGATAGAAGAACAATTTAAAAGATTTGGGAAGCATAAATTAATGATTTGGTACTTGATTTTATGTGGATCTATTTTTATCTATAATCAACAAATCTTTGCTCTCACAAAGTCATTCTGGTTTACAAGATGAAACCGTCGCTCTCCTCTTACCTGCGGGTAAGTTTTGAGGTCAGCTTAGAGAACAAGTTTGTGGTGGCACGGCTACGGGAGTGTGGCAGAGGGCTGGCTTCATGGGAGAGGGTGGGTGAGGTGGGGGGTGCGTGGGTGGGAGGCCGGTGGTCCCTTAGCTGGCCACCATGGAAGGTGCTGCGGATGGTGGATCCCCTCGTGAGCCGAGAACGTTCTGAAGATGTGGAGCCAGAGGCCCCGGCCCCGGAGATACTGTGAGTGGATGGGGAGGCTGGAGGTAATCGATGTGACAAGGAGCTGAGGAAAGAGACAAGAAAACAGATGAAAAGCAAAAAAAAGAAAGTTTTGCCACATAACCGGCATCGCTTTTGCTTATGCTTAAGAACAACTATAGCAGCATATGCTAACAACCCAGAGCACATGAGCAACAGCATAGCAATGGCTTAGCAAAACGTTAACAATCATAATCAGTGGCATAATAATAAAGTTAAACCGATCCCACTCACTTTTTCAGCGGCCTTGGTTCCGAAAGTTTTTTTGTTTAGAAAAAAAAATAGTTTAAAATTATTGGAGCTTCTATAAAAGGATATACCATCCATTAACAACTTTGCAGCTTACAATAGGTCTTTCTTTAATAAGTTATTTATAAGTTATGGATCAAAATCAGATTTTGATCAGATATAAAGATTTTTACACAGGCAAAGACTTCTCCAGAATATGCAAAAATCTGGATTTAAATATGGCTGCTGTGCTGAACGTTCATTGTTCCCACTCATTAGTAGTCATTGTGGCTCTACCTGGAGTCTACTTTGGTGGCAGAACTTAATCCAATAGACAAAGTCCAAAACATACCACAGTAACAGCACTATAGCAATGCGATTAGACTGACATCAGACCTCAACACTTGAAGAGCCCGTTCTCGTTGGGTTTAGCTGAGCGTAAATGTGAGGCAGGATGCTGCTGAGTCACTGTGGCATGAGATCTCTTGTGTTCTTATTCCCATCTCAGAAACAGCCACTTAAGGCAAATTAAAACAGAATCCTTACCGGAAAAAAGCTTGCACACAATCGCACATCTCAACGCAGACAAAAGGTTGAGACAAATCACTCTATTTTCTGTTTGTCAAACAAGTCAAAACCCAGGACAAAGGACAGAAAGTCAAACATCAAAGAGAGAAAAGGAGTGCAAGATGAGAAGATAATTAAAAACTTACAATTCAGCTGGGATTACTGAGGTGTACTTAATAGTGGATAACATGATGCTGTACAATGGAAAACTGTTCTAGGTGGTTACTAAGGTGTTGCCATACAATTGCTGTGGTGTTCTGGGTGGTTGCTAGGGTGTTTCTATGCAGCTGCTAGCTACGGTATTCTGGCTTGTTACTAGGGTGTTGCTATGCAGTTTCTATAGTGTTGTGGTTGTTACCAAGGTGTTGCTATGCAGTTGTTAGGTGGTTACCAGGGACTACTTGATTGCTGTTTAAACCTGATGTTGTCTGATCACAGTAGCACCGCTCTCCTTTTGATGAGAAATAGGAATTGTGATGCTTTCCATAGCAACCAGCACTAATGATCTCTCATTCAGATGGGTTCACTTTGCTGACGTGAATCTCTTGGCATCAGACTGCCTCTGACCCTCCATCTAGCTCAGTTTTGGCATAGATCTAACAGATCTCACATGCTGTCTCATTCTGCCCACTCGCCTGGGGCCACTTCACTTAACGCTCTAAATAACCCTGCATTGATGGACCTTACACACACACACACACACACACACACACACACAGGATTTCCTAAACAGGGTTTCACATATTAGCTTTCCTTGGTCAGCCATACTGCAGTCGTTAATGGCGATGCTGGGCAGAAAAATGTGCATGATGAAGGGGTTTGAAACAGCATGGCTGTGTGTGTGTGTGTGCAAAACATTTAAGACTAGTCAGGGATTTATAATTAAATGTTTATTTTAAACTGTAAAAATATATTCAAGTATTATTTTTAAAGTAACTAATCAAAAAAGCTAATTTGTGACATCAAACAGAAAATATTAATATCAATTCCATTTTAATCAAATTGTTATGCTTATTTACCATATAAATACCATTTATAAAAATTATTTCCCAGGTGTTCTCAGATTTCAGACTACGTATTTGTCAATTATGGTGATTATGGTGTTTTTGCGTGTAGACATGTACTGTACTGGCTGAGCTCGGGGGAGTTAGGCTACTTTAGGTCAACCAGTCAAGCAGCCTTGTGACCCAGACAATCCACACGCCTCCTCTCATTCTCTTTAGACTTACATGACACCCAGTCTTTGGACCTCCCCCAAAGAGGGGGAAAAAAGAGAGGAGAGTGAGAGAAGGACAGCTAAGCAGCTACCATCTGCCACTGCTGAAGCATAACAGACCAAATCAATCTCAATAAACAAGCTTACAGGAAAAAATCATTTCAGCTTTAACATGGACATCAATTATAAAAATTCAAAACAGAGCCACATATACAGAGACAGGTTTACCTGTTCTCTTTCCCATTCTGTAGCAAGGTGTGTCTGTCAGTGCTGGTACGGTCCGTACATACATAAGTGTTCCTACGGGTCATGGCACTGGCAGGGATGTTGTTCTAAAATGTGAAAGAGAAAGCACACATAAGCATTGTTTATGTCACTAAGGCTATCTAAATATAACCAGCATTTCGGACACAGTTGTCCTCAGAAATTCATGCATTTTGTTCAACGGGAACATTTTAGGAACAAGTTGTTTTGCATACTAAGGGAACATCAATTTATGACCTGAGAATGCCAATAATGAATCTGAACATGTGCCATTACATCCCAGGGGGAAAAAAAAGTTATGCAACATTTTAATGGGCGGCACTTGAATTGTCAACAGGACGATTTATATTTTCTTCTTTATTAAAGGAAACGAGCATCCAATTCCGTCATTATTTACTTATGTCTTTCAAAACGGCAGGATTTTCTTTCTTCCTTGAAACACAAAAGAAGTTATTTTTAGCTGGTCCAGCTTCCCTTTTCCATAGAATGAAAGTGAATGGTGACCATGGCTGCAAGCAAGGTTAACGGCTTAAATTTCAGTCCATTCCTCACATAATCTATCAAATAGCTTCAAAAGACCTGGAATCTAGAACACACACCCAAGACAATCAACTAAATATATATATATTTCAATGAATATTTCCTGGAACCGTATGTGCGTGATTTCCTGTGCTTGATTACCGTTGTTGCGTTGATGTCCTTGCGGCGGTCAGGGATCTCGGCCTTGTTGGGGTTGTTGGCTGTGCTGACCATTGGGCTCGACGGGGGGATGCTACGACTGCCCACCACACTGCAGCTGGTCTTCCGTGAGGGCAGACGTTCCTCTTTCAGATCCCCCTCGCCTGTACTGGTGGGGCTGCGCTTGGGATGGGTTACTGGCACCGATGGCCCACCTGACAAACATATAAACACAATTATAAACACAGTTCATAATAAGAAGTATTAATTAAAATTAAGCTATATAATATCAAAAAGTATAACTGGCAGACCACCCCAGCAATACTGTCATGGATCACCTGTGAAAACCTCTGATCTAGGCCATTTATAAATATGAAATTATCCTTGAGAAGTATCAGGACTCACAGAAGTCACTGTGCCTCCTCTGGCGGTGGTAGGTGGAGGCACTGCGCTGGGGTTTAGAGTGACTGGAGGCAGAGGTGGAGCTGGAGGTGTGTTTGCTGGTGCCATTCGTGATGGGACTGGGCCTCACCCGTGCTAGAGACAAATTGCTGCTTGACCGGGACTCCATACCTTCCTATATGGGAAACATATGAGAGATATTACACACTTATAGGATAGCGCACAGGCTGCTCTCGGCTCAGTGGCAATCCCTATCTCACCTCATTCTTGCGACTTAGCAGCAGATAGGTGGCAAATATCTCATTGTACTTCTGTGTGGTCAGGGCATCTTTGATTTCATCACGGGAGTAACCCATCCCTACCATTACATCTGTATGAACAGAGAGAGAAAAAAATCATTTAAGTAAATAAGCAAGTAGCCATTTAGCAGACAAATTCAGCCACACTTATTACGTTCTGGTACAATGGGAAAAAAATGTTTAATTTTTAACGTTTTTACTTTTTAATCAGTAATCTATCTTGTTTCATTTAAAAAATAATAATCATCTTAAAAACAAGATACATTTTCTTTTGAAAAGCAATATTTTTCACAGAATATACAATACAAGGATACATACAATTTTTAAATTGTTATAAAATATTTCTTAGAATGATTTTTGAAGGATCATGTGAAGTAATGGCTGCTAAAATTCAGATTTCCCATCACAGGAATAAATAACTTTTTAAAAAATACATTCAATTAGTAAACATATTAAACAATTTTTCACAATCTTACTGTTTTACAGTATTTTTGATTAAATAAAGCTTTGGTAAGCACAAGAGACTTGCTGTAAGAAAAAGAAAAAAATAATATACTACAGTTTAAAAGTTTAATCATATATTATTTATAGAAAAATAAAAACGATTTAGCAATGGGGTCAAATAATTAAATATACCTTGATTTATTACTTAAATCAAAGTATACTGTTTGATAACCAGATGAATTTACAAGCAAAATTGTGCAAGATCTTGTTTTAAAGGATGTTTATATACAGGTTCCCAAAAGTGTTAACAGTCATTCCTTACCTATACGGCTGGTGTCACTATAATCCTCCACCGGCTCTATATGAGGCTTCAGCTCATCGCTTTCATAACCGACATTCATCCACTTATCCTTCATTATTTGCTGAAAGGGAAGAACAGAATATCAGATAGAGTGTGAGCCGAAGATCACACAATCTATGTAAACTCAATAAGTCATTTGCTGTGTTGGTGGACTGCGGGTCGCAGTTGCTCCTCCTCACCTCCAGGGTGCAGCGCTTGGTGGGGTTGAGCACAAGAAACCGGCGCAGGATCCCCTCACAGTCAGTAGACATGTAGAATGGCACCCGGTATTTCCCCCTCAACACACGCTCACGCAGCTCCTGAGGGAACAACACAGACTTCTATTCAACACCTAATCTTATTCTGAACCAGTCAGCCACCGAATCACCCCCACGGCACAGAGAAATAATCACAGCTCACTTGACCTACATTACTTGTGAGCAAAGTATTTCATAAGAGCACTTATGCATGTGAGGCGCCTGTCTCAAAATGTTGCCAAAAAAAAACTGTTTGGAAGTGACACAAAAGAGATTTTAAATTGAATATTAGCGTTGGTGACTAGACATATTATTAAAAAGTTTGTTACAAAAGTAAACAAAAATTTCGTTAAAATTGAAGTTGAAACACACTGTGGCAGTGTGTATCTACCAATCACGTTTTCCACCAAAATATAGACAATATGTGCAGCCCTTAGTGATATTCAACACGCAAATAAATTATTTTATTGATCAAAACTATCAGTGTTTACAAACTCAATCAATAAACAATGAATAATAAAAGGACATTACAGATTTTTATTTATCATAATCGTTGATACTTTATCAAATTGTTTTTTCATCATCAAATACTCACTTAAAGTTAATCTCTTAAATGTTATCTTAAGCAAATCTCAAATTATCCATTTTTATACTGTACATTAATATTGTGTTGTGATGCTTAAATTCACTTGTAGCATTTTAAATGATTTAGCTTTTAGTGCTTTATTTATTTACACAGAAATTGCAGAATGTTGACAATTTATTGATTATCAGCCATACTACAAAAATAATTATTGGCTTATCTATATCAGCGTCAATTTTAATAATGGGGAATTTGTTCCTACCTATCACCGTTTAAAATATTAAACCAAAAGTCCAGATAAACATTGTTGTTCCATAGTATTTCTTGCCTTTCTTTATTTCGTTTCATACTTTGTAATTTACCTTGAGGTTCTGTCCATCAAAGGGCAGTGATCCGCTGACCAGCGTATATAGAATAACCCCCAGACTCCAAATGTCCACCTCTGGCCCGTCATACTTCTTCCCCTGAAAGAGCTCTGGGGCGGCGTAGGGGGGGCTGCCGCAGAAAGTGTCCAGTTTACTGCCCAGCGTAAATTCATTACTGAAGCCAAAGTCAGCAATCTTGATGTTGGAGTCTGCGTCAAGCAGGAGGTTTTCCGCCTGAGTGAGGTATAAGATAGGAAGGGGTATATGACCATGAGCAGGAATTTAATAGTTTTATGCTTTGGGATGTTTTAAAAAAAGGGAGCAAAGTGTGGAGCTGTAAGGCCTTTACTCTTTTATTAGAGCTCCAGAGGTCACAAAACGATGTATAAGTCATGAGAAAGAAATATAACCTTCAAGTCCCTGTGAACAATATTCTTCTGATGACAGTAATGAACCGCAGACACAATCTGAAAGGGAAGCACTGACATTAACATCTCTGCAACAGGAAGTTACAAAACTGCTCTGCATCTTTAACAAATTAGAAACAGAAAATACAGCTTGGTTTTTATAGATTTATAGAATTTATTTATGACATTTCTCACCTGCCGGAATTTAGCACGTGCCTCCTTTTCCTTCATTCTCCCATGGGATACGAGGTAGTCAAATACTTCACCTATCACAGAAGAAACATTTGAGTAAATCTAAAACATGATAAAAATTATCGGCCAAAATGATTCTTCCTCAGGGAAATAATTGAAATAAAATGTTAAAATGACATTAAACTAAGCCGATAATTATTTATTTTTATTTATTTTTGCCTGATAACTGGTAACAGCCAATAATAAAATTCTACACTATATAGTTCAAATTTAGATTAAAATTAATCTAAAATCAACATTATAGTGTACAGTATGAAAAATGAAGATTTACTTTGAGATTTGCTAAAGATTGAATTTAACAGTTATTAAATTAATAAATTAATTTAAAAATAAATTAAATTAAATCAGTAAAACAAATTTAAGTGAGTATTACATATCTTTAATATTGGACGATAATCTACTTGGTACAGATATATTGCACATTCGTACATAAAACTACACAGAAGTATGGATAAAGATTAAGGTAAACACATTGGACCTATTATGGAGGCCACTAATATAACTAATTTAGATCAATTGGGATTTTCTAGATTAAAAAAGAAAGTTACTTAATACTCAGTGAACGAACACAATGTTTCATTCCGGATAATGATTAAACTTCCACTGAAATGTGAAATGGGGAGGAAATAGAAAACACAAATTACCAATGTGTAGTATAAGCCGTACCGCTCTACATGATTTTTCCACGAGCTCGCACATGCATCAGCCTCATCAGATAGATTAGGAGTGGAAACGTGAGATTCAATAAGAGAGCAACCGATTCAAGCGCCACGAATATGGGCTAAAGTTAAAATAAGCCTGATTTGACATCTTTACTAGCAGCTCTAATCGCTGAGGTGTGTGGGCCTGGCTTCTGTGAATGCGCATGAAACCTATAGAAGAGCCTGTGCAGCTGATGCAACAGTCGTACACATGCATGTTTGCGTGTGAGCATGAATTAAAACTAGAGACATGTGATTATTCATGTAAATACTCATCAACACTTGATGGTACACACAGAATTACGGATTAACACAATTATGAAGGAAGCATGTGTGCGTATGTTAAAATACGGAGGAATTATACCTCCACTGGCGTATTCCATCACAAGATAGAGCGTCTTTTCTGTCTCAATCACTTCAAAGAGCTGAACTGTAGATGAGAGAAAAAAATCAGATCATATCACTGGGTACAGTCTGAAAAACATGGTAATAAGTGCATTGAGCAACAGAGAATAAGCCCAGGTTGTTGTATGATTGGGTCAAGGAAAACCTAAAAATGTAAATTCAGTGAATAATTTAAATAATTTTTTACAGAAAATGTTCTCTTCGACATAGCTCTCAAATCTCATTTGCACAAGCAAATATTTGACATTAAAATATAAATAAGTTGAAGTACTAAATTGACTAAAACTGAAATAAAAAAATTAAAGCTAAATAAAAATATTAAAAAAACAAATCACATAACAAAACTACTAAAACATCAACAAATTAAAATAAAAAATTATCAAAATAAAAAGCCAATTCAAAATATGAATAAATATTACATACAAGTATAATAATAACATTGCAACTGATAGAGATAATATAAACTAAAAAAACTGTTTTGAGAGGCCTCAGATGTCAATATTTTCCCGTGTGAAGGATAAAATGAAGAAACCAGACATTTTTTTCCTCAAAAGCATCTAAAATACTCACCTATGTTTGGGTGGTTGAGGCCCTTCATGATCCGTACCTCTCGAAAGAGCTGAGGAGAGATAACAAAATAAAATAATCATTCAAATCACCTATAAACTTTTGTTTATACAACAACATAGAAATATAATTCATAACATATCATTCAAAGATAATTATAGTTTATAGAACTATCTATAATTAAATCTTAATATAATCTGGAAATTAATATAATTACGTATATTTAATTAATGTGGACTTTACATTACATTTCACCCAAATTATTATTCTGATCATATAATTTCTATTAACTATCTATTAATCATATAATAAGTTCTATTAACTTAGAAACAAATGCAAAATAAAAATGCAGACCTTTTTCAGTCATGTTTAGAGGTTGATAAAGTCATCTCTGTCAGACATGATTTCATTGATTATATTAATAAAACATCTTAAGCCACAATAACTCTGCAAAGACCGACGGACGGGTATTCATCAGTTGTGTAAATCCATAAATACCATTTACACCGAAGTCCATGATAGATGCAAAACAAGGCCCACTCTCTGTGATGCAACCCATTGTGAGCACCAGCCTGTCCTTTCTAAAAGTGTTTAAATTGAATGGAAGAGGGATTAAGATTAAATCTTTCTGTTTTCTAAGACATCAGAGCTATCCTGCGGCGTGTCTGCCACTGAGAATCATGGTCTTGAGGTACAAGGTTAAATCGCTGTTATGAACAAAGAGCCCTTCCAAAATTGCAACATTTACTACAAGGGTAAATAATGACAGTATTTTCAATCTTGTGTGAACTATCCCTTTACTAGTCCAACTAGTCCAACCTAATGGCCGTGATGAAACGACAAACAAGGTGTGTGAGAACCGTCCATCTGTTGTTTGAAAGCAGAACTTGATTGCTGCAAGAACCTTGTATGACAAAAGGAGAGGGGCGGAGAGACAGAGTCAAAGAGAGAAGTGACGGACCAAGAAAAAGCGTGACTGAAAGACAAAGAGTCACGAAGACTACGAGCGTACAGAAAGGGAAGGTAAAGGAAAGAGAAGATAATATGTGGAATGTGTCGATGGCTGACTGACACACCACGGTTAGAGCTAATTCTTCCCAAACACACTCAGTCACCCTGGGAGAAAGTCCAAATGAAATAGAGAGAGAGAGAAAGGGAGGCCATGTTTTCATTTGTCCTCACTCACTGCCCTCTGTGTATCCCATCGGTTAGTTTCCATTTACCATTCGCTTTCAATTCAGGAGCCTGTACAGCTTCACTTTCCCAGCCCTGGGCCAAAATCATAGGTTGACAAAAAGCATCACAACACAAAGCCGAACAAACTGATACAGAATCAGGGCCAAGTTTACTTTTCGATGCAGTATAAACACAATGATTATGAACACAATGGCTCGGTTCCAAATCCCAGTGTGCTTCCTACAGAGGCAGCATTTAAAGGACAAGTTCGGTATCTTACACTTAAAGCCCTGTTTTAAGATCGTTTTTTTTGAACATGTTAAAAAAAGACAACAGCAAAAACTGAATAAAATAAATAAATAGATAAACAATCAACAACAAGAACAACAAAAAGATCATCTACAGAGGGTCCAAATAACAATCATGTTCAAAGGGAGGTTAGAATTACTTTTCTTGTCCTATCCCCACTTCACTGATATTTTAACTACTTAAACTCTCTAACTTACCGGTTAACTTAATAAAGATAAAAAAAAGAAAAAGAAAATCACTGTTCCAGCTCATATCCATCAAGGATTCTTTTTTAAACATATATTTCAATTGCAATAGGTTTTTACATAATTTTAAATCATTGTCGCTGCTGTTCCACAGTATAACACCCTGGGTTGGTATACAATGCAACTTAGTGTTTGTAACGAATCAGCGGTCTACTAAACATTGATATTTCTCTGAAAGTGTTTTGTCGTAATTGGAAAAGCTCTTGGATATTTCTAGGTAATTGCTTGTGAGCTCTAAAAACAATTAGAAAAAAATTATAATCAATCAGATCTTTGAACTTTAATATTTTGAGTTTAATGAACAATGGGTTTGGTTTTCTGTATGTAGTTTAATATAAATCTGATGAAATAGAACGATTGAAATAGAATGATAGAATGATTTCTGATGAAATAGAACGATTAAGATTAAAATTTGGACGTGGTAAAATTTCTGGGGTGTTCACTGATACACTCACACAAAAACCAGTGCAAAAGATGCTTTCCAGCAGGTTTTATAGTAGTTTTTGTCCAAGTCACGTTGGGTGGGGGTGCAACCACAGAAGCTGAAAATTCTCGGGCCACCAGCATGTGTCCAAATTGTATTCTTAACTGTTCTATTTCATCAGAAACAATCTTAAAACAAGGCTTTTTTATAAGTGTAAAATAGCGAACTTGTCCTTTAAGGCATCACATGCCCTCTCAACACAAAGGCAACTTAATTATGCTCATATACTTAGTTTTGAACACATTTTAATTCAAACTTTATGTATCCTGTGGAGAAGACAATTCCTTGATTTTGCCTAATATTTGTGTGCTTTGTATTTTTATGATGTTACTTTAGTACCACTCCAAATCAGTCAAAGCAGCTGTCCAAGTAGACCGTAGCCCGTAGGCAATGAGGTAGCTCAGTAGTTTTTGGAAAAGAGCTAATGATTACCTACATTTCTTGATTGCTAGCAGAGCTTGAGATTGATGAAGGCTTTTTTTGCTGGCTTATGTTCCAAAACGTTCGTATTTCTGTCTCTCCTGAAAGGCCTTTTCAAGACAAACAACCTCATACGGCTTTATATTTGGCTGCTTTAAAGAGCAGGAAGGAATTCCAGTGAAGTTCTCTCAAGATTTATACCGTCTGCATGCTGACGACCCCCCGAGGAGTTTTGTTTTGCTTCTCGATGCACATACCGGTACGTTTACCTTTGGGCATAATTTGTTCTAACAAAACCGGTACAGAAGCAAGTTAGCCCATTTATGCATCAGACACACTCCAGATAACATTATGATCGAATTGCCATGCATTTCGAGAAACACGAGGCCAGTTCGGCGAAGTCAAAGAGATAAAAGATCTAAACATGGAGTCAGAAGCAAGAAAGACTAGTTTTTAGAAGCAGCAGTACTAAAAATACTTTTAAGGTTTGACTACATGAATTGGACAGATTATGATCAATTCGATCTTTATATTTTAAGAAGTCAAGCACTTCACTTCACGGTTCTGGTGGGACACACCAACAGTAGGCATCTGTTTGAGGTCACTAATCTGTTTGTTTTACGCATGTACGGCTGGCACACACAAACACAGATGCTCTCAAATGCGAATTGAACTGATCGAGGCAGACAGGTTACATAATGACCCTGCTAATGCGAAAGACTCTGACCCAGCAGCACAATCACTGTAAACAGAAAGGAAATCGAATCCACTTTTTCACCCCAACAAAACAGAGCTGTTACATCACTATGTACAGGTTATTCGTCTCCAATCAACTCCTCTGTTTTCACGAGTGCATTAAAAGTTCAATACATCCCATGAACCAGCTGATCAGCACTGTAAAAATTTAGATGTGTTTTGTTTTATAGAGAAAATATCAACATCAAGGTCAAATAACTGTTTTCAAATCCAGTCCCTCCAGGATTTCGCGATGTCGCGATCGCAACTATTAACGCAACTTCAACAAATCCACGTGAATTCAGTGCGCCTTGCAATTTTGAAAAATCACCGCAACTTTTCTGCAACTTTGACGAATCATCGCGCCGCGGTCTCCTGCAAAGCGTCGTCATACGTCAGCAAACTCACTTGTTTTGTTCAGAAGACGCAGCAGATGTGGACTGCCAACGTCTCACATTTAGGCTACCTACAAAAATAACAGAAAAGGCCAATGTTGCCAACTTAGTCTTTGTCGCTATATTAAGTGATATAAAAAAGCGACTAGAGACAAATCTAGCGGCTTTTTGGACAAATCTCAGTAACCAAATGTTGCCAGCATAATCCTGCGCGCGCGAGGTTTGCTTTCTCCCTGCCGTCACACCTCTCTCTGCGTCCCTGTTCAGTGAACGGCTGCAGTAGAGGAGCAGCACGGCAGCTGACAGACGCGAATGAGCAGTGTTGTTTCCACGGACTTATCACTTATCTGCTTCTCTTTTGTTTTATATTTAAAGGATTGAGTTTGACCATTTTATTTTCCTTTCTTTTCTTGTGTTTATCACTTGTAATAGGCTACTCACTATCACAGTGCATTAGTTCACCCAGTTCCCGAACTCTCTCAATTCAGAAAATTTTACACATAAAAAATAGCTAGCCGACTCCTTCTATTGTCTGACAAAAAAAAATTAAGCAAATGAGAACAGCTTTATTGGATATGCGGCTATATTATATTATATTAGCTATATTAAAATACATTATCAAACATTTGGTTTTTCCACCATTTAACTATAGTGGCTATTCCTAAAACTGTATTTTGCACTTTATTAGTATTGACATCTTTCAACATAAATGCTGCTTAATGTTTGTGAGGTTCTGCACATTGACTTTTTTGCAAGTGCAGATCTTGTTTAAAAAAAAAAAAGAAGCTTAGTTTGTTAGGTTTTGCTGTGTCTTTAAATCGTTTGTTTCGCCTTTTATGGTTACTAATGGTTAGTTTGTTCATGTGTTACAGAGTGTGTGACTTTGTCTCTTAAGTCAATTCTGGACTACAATAGAGCAGATGCAGATGATGAACAGTGTTTTCTGTGGGACATAATAAGTCCCTTTGGGGTGGACTTTGGACTTTTCTCTCTTAGTAAACCTATAACATGCACAAAAAATATAACAACACAATAAAGGAAAGGGGAAAAGCCAAAAAGCATAATATGGGCATTTTAAGTAAAAATCTATCTATCTTTGCCGTTTTAACCTATAAAAACATGCAGAAGAACCTCGCAACTTTTATCGCAACTTTTTAAAAAACCGGCCGCAGCATCAGGCATTTTAGGCCGCAACAATCACAAAAAAGGCCCGCGAAATCGCATATGGGACTGCAAATCGCATACATTGGTGAATCGATCACAATAAGACCAGAAACATTACATTAAG